GCGACCCACCTATCACATCTCTGCGCCCCACCTATCACATCTCTGCGCCCCACCTATCACATCTCTGCGCCCCACCTATCACATCTCTGCGCCCCACCTATCACATCTCTGCGCCCCACCAGTGGGGCGCGCCCCACACTTTGAGAAACGCTGCACGAGCATGATTTATTTCCACCTCCATTATCATTAGTTAACAGGATTTAAAGGAATTATCTCTCTGCTGTTCGACAGACGCTTTCTTATTAATCTGAGAACCCGCAGGTGGTCACCAGGTTAATTGAAGTGGGGGACGTGGTTTCCATGTGTGTGTGTTATGGTATGTGTGGACTCAGAGCGCCGCTGTGGGACGGACTGAGCTGCTGGAGATATGAGACATTTCAGGATCAAACAAAGCAGCAGAGAAAAGCTCTTTCTACACACGGTCAACCTTAACCTTCAAAATACTGTTACAAATAATCAGGTGAACATTCATTTCAAGATGTACAACAAAGTTTGGATAGTCAAAGTAGAGCCATGGTATAAAGATGTTAAAAATAAAGATTAAATTTGGTTCCAAGGATTTAAACGTAATTATTTCATCCCAGATGCTGAGTAAGCTTTAGGGCAGGGCCACTTTGTGATTGACAGGTTGCTTCCACATCTTATAACTTGAAGCCTTTCCCAGTTTCGCTTTATGAAAGTTAATTGTTTCACTCTGGCCCTGAGATATATTGCTTTGGAGCAGTCGTGCTAATCTCCACCTTTGGCGATGGCGATAAGCGAAATGTAAAATGAGATGCTTCAAAACCATAATTCACAAAGGAATGCGTAACTTCACGGTGACTCCGTCTACGGTCCTGCGGCTTGGTTAAAAGAGTTCTTATTTAAATAACACTTGGGTTAATGAGGATCTCATGCTCTCTGTCTTTCTATTACCCAGCGTGCCTTGCTGCACATGGTCGCTATGCTCAGAAGCTGATGACTGACTTGTTCTCTAACTACACCAGCGCCTTGCGTCCGGTGGAGGACACCGACCACATCATCAACGTCACACTGCAGATCACTCTCTCCCAGATCATCGACATGGTAACCCCACCCTGATCCTGATCTTCAGGTTGTGTTTATTATTGGATGTACTGATGTGTATATCCTTTCTCCAGGATGAGCGTAACCAGATCCTGACCACATACCTGTGGGTCCGCCAGGTGTGGAATGACGCCTACCTCACGTGGAAGAAAGAGGACTATGATGGTCTCGACACTATCCGCATACCCAGCAGCTACGTATGGAGACCTGACATTGTTCTGTACAACAGGTTGGTACATCTGATCTGCCCGACTGCAGGACATCTGCAGGACAGAAGAATGAGAATAAGCACGATGTCATCAACTCAAAGGTTGGATAGGACCAGATTACATGTAATCAGAGAGCAAGAAGTTACTAATCAGCTGAGATCGAATCTGAAAAAGAGCAATCAGATCCTAGTTACATTGCCAAGGATCTTTGAAAAGATGTTGAATTACATATTTAATATATGGAAATTTAAACATTTGGATTAGTTTCAATTAATTATCATTTGTGGAAGGGGAAAATAAGACTGTGTTGAGTAGGGATTTGGGTAAATATATATGTTATTATCAACTTATATATCAATAAATGATCATTTCTGTATCATCATTTTAGTTTTCTTTGACACATATTAACATGACCATGTTTTGAGGATATTTAACACATGTTTTGTTCTTAAATATTTTTCCGTAAGTCTGTATAAAATGCACTGTATCATGTGTTACAGAATGGTATTTCTCATTTACCAAATGTTGTGTCTCTAGTGATTTGCATATTGCATTAGTCAGTTGGAGTTTGTAAAAATATTTTGCATTTAACATTTTTGGTCCATATTTTGGACGATGTTTTCAATGTTTTAAGTAATCCAAAAGTATTTAGATCAGATCAAACTATGTCTATCCAATTGGATTATTTACTAATTAGAACATTTGCCATGTCATTTGTGTTAAGTAACTGACTAGGTAATCTGACCCCCTGTGATCTCCTGTTCTCCCTGCCTTCACACACTCCACTTCCTCCACTTCCTCCACCACAGTGCAGACGACGAGTTTTCCAGCTCCATGGAGACCAACGTGGTGATTCGTCACGACGGGCAGATAATGTGGGACCAGCCAGCCATCACCAAAAGCTCCTGCTCCGTGGATGTGGCCTTCTTCCCCTTCGATCTGCAGCAGTGTCACCTAACCTTTGGGTCCTGGACTCACAACGGCAACCAGATGGACTTGTTCAATGCCTTAGACACTGCGGACCTGGCAGACTTCGTGCCCAATGTGGAGTGGGAGGTGAGTCACATGGTCAACATGCTCAAATGAAGACCTCAGTCTGAAATTATTTCACGATATCAAATGATACCTTTCTCTCCAGGTCCTGGGCATGCCAGCCAAGAAGAATGTAATCTTGTACGGTTGCTGTTCTGATCCGTACCCAGACATCACCTTCAGCCTCCACCTGAAGAGACGGGCCTCCTTCTACATCTTCAACCTCCTCATCCCCTGCATGATGATTTCCTTTCTGGCGCCATTGGGCTTTTACCTGCCGGCAGATTCTGGTGAAAAAGTTTCTCTGGGTGTCACCGTGCTGCTGGCCCTCACCGTCTTTCAGTTGCTGGTGGCTGAGAGCATGCCACCCTCCGAGAGCGTCCCACTGATAGGTGAGACAACTTAGAGTCCCTGATTTTGAATGCTGTTATAGTTGTCAAGAATCTAATGCAATCTATTGGTTTTTGGAATCAATGATGTCCATATCAACTGGGAAGTAGTTTATTTATAGAATAAGGCTCGAACAAGTTCTTTGGAAACGTGAAGGTAGACCTCTTTATGCCGATTCAGGAACGGACCTTAAGACTGGGTTCTCATTCGAGAGCTTTTTGAAGATTACTGACAATCACTCAGTTTTGACATTAGCAGAATGAGTTGAGGGCAGAAGGCAGTGGCCGACTCTGAGGCTGTCTGAGTGGGTCGTGTGAACATGCTTGTAGGGCAGCCTTCAAGGCACTGCCCCATAAGTCACTGTACCTTGTTTTCTCCTGGAAGAACACCCTACAGGGTACTTCATTATATGTTCAATACTGTGACTGCTCAACTAGAGGGCACTGTATCCTGCTTTATCTTCCCTGAGTCCACCGGCAGCTGGATACACAAACAAACACTATGAAACACAAAGGGCACATATCTTTTTGAACCAGTCAACAAAGGCAGGCAGGTTGTGTGTTTGCCTGATAGGCAAAGCCAGAATGCAGAGACAAAGTGGTCGTGTGATTATATCACAGAAACCGAGAGCTCGTGAGAGTGGATTCCTGCCTCCTGTCAAACAAGTGCAACTGCTTCTGATCCTTCTATATGTCCTTACAGCATTACCATATACTGGTATTGGGCTTGATAAGGGAGTCCCTTATTGACCCCAACATAATATAAGAGATCGTGTATCTGCAACCGACCTGTTCTAAAATGGCATGTTCTATGGACTCTTGTAAGTGTTGAAAAGAACAAAAATCCATTGTGCACGTACACAACTCCCACCGAAGGAACACTAAAGGTGAGTCAGAATGATAAGGATCAAACTAGAAATGCAGTAAAACGTCATCCGGAGAGCTTCAGCAGGCAAGCACTGAATGAGAGCGTACGTTTGGACTGACAGTTTGATCAACCAATCAGATATTGATTTGTAGCCAATGGGCGTATTCTTTCAGAGTTCCCCTCGGTTCCAGGGTATTCTAGAAGGCCCGCTAATTCACTGGCTCGAGACAGAGGATCTAGATGAGCCAAGAAAAACCACAACGTTAGCCTGGGTCAAAGTATCTCTTCTTGTAAACTTAGACTTTTCTTGCAAACATAAAGATTTTCTTTAATCTTCAAACTCTTGACTCCAATCTCTTTTTGTTATCAGGAAAATACTACATCGCTACCATGACGATGGTGACTACCTCCACAGCGCTCACCATCTTCATCATGAACATCCACCACTGCGGCCCCGAGGCTCGTCCCGTCCCACAGTGGGCCGAGCGCTTCATCCTGAACTACCTCGCCCGCATCTGTTTCGTATACGAGGTCGGTGAGAACTGCCTCGGCGGGGCGACCTCCAGCAAGCGGCCTCCGTCTGAGGAGGGGTCTGAAGCCCGAGCAGCAAACAACAGCAACCCAAAAGGAACAAACTGGGACGTGAACGGGCAAGTGTGGGCCGGGAGGGTGGAGGAGGACGGGGCGGGGGAATCAATGAAGCCGGGGCGGGATTCAAGCAACCAGACGGAGTGGACGGAGGACATGTTTGTGACCATCGACCACTCCGAGGAGGAAGGAGCTGCAGGAGGATGTGACGGGGAGCGAGAGGAGTCAGCCTGTGGAGGGGGAGGAGGGGAGCATGTGGAGGAAAGGAAAGGCGTAGGAGGTGAAGAGGCCGGCGGAGGTGAAGAGGCCGGCGGAGGCAGCGCCAGGGAGAACAGGAGGGAGACCTTTGTGAAAACCGTGTGTGTGTGCCAGCACCAGGGACTACGCAAACATGTCGAGTACATTGCCAACTCGTACCAGGACCAGCGGGCCGCACAGCTGCGCATCGGGGAGTGGAGGAAGGTCGCCAAGGTCATGGACCGCTTCTTCATGTGGCTCTTCTTCATTATGGTCTTCTTCATGAGCATCCTCATCCTGGGGAAAGCCATCTGATGGAAATCCAACTTCAGAGATTCCCGTGAGATGATAATGCTGGTTTTGAGTTGGCACCCCGATGCAGTGGTTTGTTTTGAACGTGTTAAATCATACTTACCTTCAAACACGTGAACAATGTTATCACACTGATCGTTATCAATGACATCAAACGCACAGAAATACAGCCATCACGTCCCCTTTGCTCCTGGTATCAGCACATCCCATGCACTTTACTAGAGTACTTTTAATATCTGGATGACATTTCAAACTAAGTTCCAGCTGGCGCACTTGAAGCTGATTTTAGCATGTTTCACTTGTTTGGAGGAAAACTTGATTTTAAGGATAAATATCATCATTAAATATTTTTAAGAGATGAAGGCAGCATGACATGATGTACCAGGCTTCCATCGTTACATTATGACGACTGCCAAGGCACACA